TTTCAATAAACAAATAACATTTATTCTCTTAAAGGATTTTAATGTTTAACCCAATAATTTAAGAAGTACTTTTTATAGAACTTGAAAAATTAGATTAAAATATTAATCTTTTAAATTATTAACTAAGGTGTAAGTAATTGTAAGTCCACAAGAAAATTTCATCCCTTTAAGCAGTTTAAAGAATTCACACAAATGAAAGAAAAAAAGTTCTTTTTAAAAGAAATGCATACATTTATTTAGACTAAACACTGAAGTTTTCATATTAACTATAAACTACTCATTACATTTTTAACATTTTCGAATTTTGGTTGAGAAGAATTTATTCGTAATCCTGATTGCGTGCGTTTTTCCATGCTTGGTGAACACCGTGATAGGTATTTTGTTTCTGTGCTGGAGCGCTTTTGCCGAATGGGCTGTGTGAGTTCACTTGCAGCATGTAATCACCTTCTAAGTCGAAGTCGGTGGCGATACCCATATAACCGCGTTTGCCATGTCCGTTGTTGTTTTGGTAATTCTTGAGTGAGCTGGCAGCAACGGCTGGGAAGTTACGTTCATTTCCTGGGCGAACAGATTCAGTGAAGTAGCGTGTAGCGCGCATAGCTGCTTCAATTACATTAGTGGCACCAGGAACGGCAGCAGATGGTCCATTGGGGAAGAAATCAACATTGCCAACACGTAGACGAGTACCCATACCGTAAGCTGAAGTGTGTATGGCATCAACTAATTGAGCATCACCGCGAGCTAAGCCAGTTAAAGTTTTTGGATCTCTGGCGAAAACCTTTGAGGGGTCCAAAGCGGTAATACGACGCAATTGATTACCAGTTAAACGAGTATATTCGCGACCAGCAACACCGGCAACATGAGCAGCAATACCTTGGGATACAATATGGATGATTTCACGTGGAATGTTAGCTTGGTTTGTCAATTTAACTAAGACTTTGCCGACCATTTCACCGGTTTGTTCAACATCGAGCATTGCGAAACGTTTCAAGCTGTTGAGGGTAGCGCCCAAATCAATTACAATGAGGTCTCCGCTGACAGATTTCTGTGATTTCCATGCTTCGTTGTAGTCCTCTTCGCTGGAAGTGCGTTGTTTGCTATCGTAATCGTATTCTTTGTTTGGTTGACGTTGTTGTTTGCTGTAGCGTTGCATGTAAGCTTGAACCAATTTTCTTGTAGCCTTGGCAACAGGTTGGGAAGTTTCTGGTAAACCGGTGATGAAAATGGTGACTTCCTGTTCGCCAAAGTTCTGTTGTTGTTTAACGATATCGACGAGTGTGTTCAAATTGGCATTAACATTTTGGCCATTGGGTTTAACAATGTAAGCAGGAATATTGCTAGGACTGGGTACAAAGCTGGCTTGCAATTCGTTGCCGATTTGTGACAAATGATCTGTATGGATAAGATTTTTATAGAAATTGTACTAAAATAAATATTAATTGTTTTAAACGATTACTTACACAATTGCTCGATCAATTTAGCGCCTTCCTGAACCGGCATATTTTCCAAACGTTGTAGGGTGATTTGATCCACTGAAGGAATTTGTTCTAATTCTGATGTCGATAACCATTGGGTTGGCTTCAAGTTATTTTCTCCAGAATTTGAGCGTTGCTTTGGATCTGGTGAAGCGAAAGCAGCTGCCAACAGGCAAGCTACTAAGCAGAAAGTCTTCAATGGATTCATTTTTGGTCACTTATGCCGGGATAGAACTACTTTCAACAGCAGAAACAATTTACTATAATTCGAAATGAGTTTCGATGGGCTTTTATACTTAAATTTGCGTTCACAGTTGGAGCAGAATTGCTGACTAGGATTTTCGTTGCTGATTGTGAAGTAAGCAAAAATTAAAACGTGCGATATTTTAATAATCAGAAATCGTAATTAATTGATTGCATTTAAATTTTTATTTAATTCTACAAATACTCTGTATTGTATGTAAGTACAACAAAAACAACTTCACAACAAAAACAAAAGTATGAAAAAAGTTCTGATTCAAAAGGGGTTATTATTAGACGTAGTAATATTTGATATGAATTAAAATATGTCAATCATTTTTTTAATTTTTTTTTTATTAATTATTGAAAGTAAATTTTCTTATTCCTTGGCTGTTAAACATTTTAATGATATATATGAAAAGTGAAAACAATATTTATATTTTTATGATTTCCTTAAACAGCACATAAAAATGGAACGATTACAATTTAACTATTAATAAAAAACTTAAAGTAATATTATTACAATGAAGAAGTAAATTGTTTAAAAGAGAACTTATTAATAATATAAAATATTATTCAAATATTTGTCTTTCTAAATCATTAAACTCTTGAATAAACGCTTCCATGCTGCCTATAAGAATATAAATATAAGATATAGGCACCTTTTTTTTTTTTTTTTTTTTTTTTTTTTTTTGCAGTAGGTGGAAAGCATCGAAAGCCGCAGTGTGAGACTTGAACCCACTAAAACCACCTCTTAGGAATGAATGGAGAAGATTCCCACAGCAATGTGGGAACTTCATTCCAGTAATCAGGGGAGAGAGAAAGTAGATAGACTTAATACCTAGGTGAACTAGGTTCATCTAAGTCAGAAAGCAAGGGCATGAATTAAGAAGAAAGGATGATAATGAAGGGTTACGGCTAGTTAGCGGGGGTGTGGCTAGTGATAAACTTTGTGACCAGGGTCACGAAAGCCGCGGTTAAAGAGAGGAATAGCGAGAGGATTTTGGCCCAGCTCGTCAAAATAGTGGAGAAGGTACTGTGGAGGTTTAAAACGTAAAGCTAGAACAAGGTCTACTGGGAGAGTATCTGGACAAGAGACATCAGGAGGGAGGTCGTGGAGCCGGGTGAGATACCTACGGGCAAGTGTCAAAAGGTACTCATCAATACGAGTAATCTTGGCATTGTGGTACAGAGTGGAGATAGGAAAGTGCTTGCCGTTGGGCTTGCGTTTATAGTTGGTGCAATCACGGAGAAGTTTCCGCTCAAACAGGCGGATTCTTTCCATCTGAGCAGAGGTGATGGCAGACCAAATAGGAAAGGCATAAGTGAGGAGAGGACGAATAAGCTGCTTATAGCAGAGTAGCTTAACTTTACAGTTAAGCTGGTTGTGTCTTCGAAGTGCAGTTTTGAGTTGAGTGTGATAGGCACCTTTAAAAAAAGATAAACTATTTATAGAATATCAAGATCTATTTACAATTCTGTTCATAAAAGAAATTTTCACTATTAAATAGCTTTACTTTTTTATATCAATAGAGTTTTGGTGTAAAATTTCACTATTTTAACAAGTACAGCAATTATTAAACAATCCATATTATAAAATAGGGAACATTAAACTAAATATAAATTATTTTGTATAACAGTTCTGTTTGCTATATGTTACTACAACAGTTCCACTAAATCAGGTCCATGATTTGGATAAAGGTCATTTTACGCTGGCCATCAAAACATTTTTTGTTGCTTCCAATGGTTTCATTTTTTAACTTACATTGAAAGTAACAACAAATGGATTGATCGATGATTATTTAATTGCCTTCACAACATGATTCCAGTCCTTTATTTATGTCTGTGGGTGCAATACTGGCCTTTAGATTCAATTAGAAGTTATACCAAACTTAATGAAGACAATTTCGAATCATTTGCGTTAAAGTCAATATCCCTTAGATTTATTTGCTTCCGAAAACTTAATTATTCTAAGTAACCTCATTACTTCTCATTAGAATACACCTTATGGGATTATTTATAGCATAAAATACACTATAATAATTCAGTTTGTTCAATAATAATAATTTCCTTGAAATTAGTCATTTTCATCACAGAAATATTATACACATGGTTATATACTTACTTAATGACTTAGTTGGCCATTACAGACGTGAGTCGACCTTGGCTACGTCTAGTAGCTTCCGCCAATCAGCCCGATTAGTTGCTTGCTATCGCCAGTTGGTAGTACCGAGCGCACCCAAATTGTTGGTCACCTGGTCCTTCCACCAAAGACGCGGACATCTTCTATCGCGTTTTCCACCTGCGGGTACCGTATCAAACACCTTTCTAGCCGAAGTACTTTCTTTAATTCACACGACATGACCAAGCTAGCGAAGCTGCTGAATTTTTATTCGTTTAACTATGTCAATGTTGCGGTATAGCTAATACAGCTCATCGTTCCATCTAATTCGATACTAGTCGCTAACGCGTAAGGAATCATAGATCTTTCAAAGAATTTGATTATATAGTACATATAATAAATATATACTAATTATCAAATATACTTAACAATAAATCATATTATGTTAGAGACTGAATGGATGTAGTCTTATGGTTCATACAGATATAACCTGTACACATACAGATATTCATACAGATATAAGTAGGAAGCAATGAAATATATTGTGTTAGTAACTGAATGGATATAGTGTTATGGTTCATACAGATATAACCTGTACACATATAGATATTCATACAGATATAAGTAGGAAGCAATGAAATATATTGTGTTAGTAACTGAATGGATATAGTGTTATGGTTCATACAGATATAACCTGTACACATACAGATATTCATACAGATATAAGTAGGAAGCAATGAAATATATTGTGTTAGTAACTAAATGGATATAGTCTTATGATTCATAAAGATATAACCTCTACACATACAGATATTCATACAGATAAGTAGGAAGCAATAAAATATATTGTGTTAGAAACTGAATGTAGTCTTATGGTTCATACAGATATAACCTATACACAAGTGGATTTTAGCAATTTGTAAGTTTCTGCTTGAAGATATTTATATATAAAATTTGAATAAATTATTAATGTATAAATGTAAAAATAAATCATTTAAAGTTATAATTATATAATGGAATCTATGACATCTATGGTGCTAATGTAAATATAAATATTTGGGGTTTTGACTTATGTGTTAAAGTAAGATCTTATTGTTAGAATATGAAGCCATTTCAGCTAATCTAAATCATTAATACTATTATCTTAAATCAATATTGAAATATTTTTTCTCATTAAATATTTAAACACCTTTGAGTGATATATTAACTAATGGTTTACTAATTACACTGAAATAATTATGTCATAAATGATATTATTGCTATAGGAATAATCAGTCTAAAAACTCTTACTTTTGTATCAGTGGTGACACTTAAGGAATATATTGGAATTATTTTTAAAAGAAGTTTAGAGAATTTAGAGAACTTCTTTATCAAATATTATATATTAAATATTTTTTTTTAATATTATTTTTAACTGAAATATTTTAAACTGGCGGGAGTTGGATATACCTTGGAGGTAGCTGAGTGGTATTTAAAAACTCTTTAATTAGATTACAGATTGTATAGATTTTTTAATCATAATCAAAGAAATTGGGGCTGGTTAATAATTTATTAGGGAAATTATATATATCATTTATTATTGAGATATTAAGATTATTGAGATTTATTATTGAGTTTTTGAATATGAGATAGCCTTCATACTTACTGCCTTTCTTATATTTAGGAGTGAATTTGCAATATTAGATGACAAGTGCGAGGAAGTGTTATAATTTTTAAGTTAATAATATTGTTATGTAAAAGTTCCTGTTCACAAAGTGTGAATAAAAATAAAGAAAATCGGATATGTTGTCTCATACATATTTTTTAAGAATGGTCTTTATTTTGTCAAAATATTGAAATTTGATTCCTGGGAAGTAATAATCGGCAAACCATTTCAGCCGGAATTGATTGCGACAATTCAAAAGTGTCGATGATCGCAAAGTTTGTTTGCTGCGTTTTGTTATTATTACTTTTTGTTTACGTACTAAACAAAATCAAATAAGCAATTGCAACAATTTAAATAAATTATTAAGAAATATTAATAGTTATTAACAAACGAAAAAATTGATTGCGGTTTGCAGTAAAAGCATTTTCCCAGCGTATCGCTTGATAGTTGATAATGGAAAAGCTGAAGCTGCAGTTCGGTAGAAAGAGGAGGGCAAATGTTAAGTAACTATCAGCAATCAGACGACTGACCTGGTCAATGACCGTTTCAATGACACAGCGGCAAGTCAACAACACGAGAATGCAATATTTCTATTCTACATTTCTGATTAAAAAATCTAAATAAATAAATGAAAATTCAGCAATTTTCGATATTAAATGCAAAATCTCATTTCGAACAGATAAGACAAAAGTTAAAAGTTTTAGGTATATAAACCTGCAAGTAGAGGAAACGCAACCACAGTTCACCTATTTGAGCGAAACAATCAACTAATATCGGCAAACTGACCAATATGAATCCTTTGAGCACTATTTGCCTAGTGGCATGCCTTTTGGTTGCTGCCTGTGCTGTTCCAAGCCAATCGATGAAGGGACATGGCAATTCATTGAGTAACAAGTTGAAGCCAAGTGAATGGTTGTCGGTGTCAGATTTGGAAAATTTGCCCTCAGTTGATGAAGTCACTATCCAGCAGTTGGAGAACATGCCTAGCGAGGAAGGTGCAGAATTAGTTAATAGCCTCTGTAAGTAAATCATTGTCACAAATTGATTTATATTTTATATAATCTTTTAATTGTTTTTCAAGATCACTTGTCACAAATTTCCCGCGATTTAGAACCAAGCTTTGCTCCCAGTGCCAATGACATTCCAACATACATTGTAAAAGCCAATGGCCAAAAGGAACAGATCACATTGAATCAACTCGTTCAAAAAGCTAAACAACAGGATAACTTTGGTGATGAGGAAGTGATTGTATTCATTACTGGCTTACCACAAACCTCACAGACTGTTTCCAAAGCTAATAGGAAGTTGGTTCAAGCTTTCGTACAACGTTACAGTGGCCAACAGCAGCAACAACAAAGTGACTACGATAAGAACCAACGCTCTTCCAGCGAAGAAGACTCCAACGAATCACAAAAGAACAGCAATAAGAACAAAGGCAACATTGTCGTAAGTAAAACGTGTCTTATGAGTTTTATAAAGTCTAAAATTTTACTTACTTATCATATGCAATTATTTTTCTATAATAGGTAATTGACTTGGGTTCCCAATTGACTAACTTGAAACGCATTGCCATGCTCGATATTGCTCGTACTGGTGGTATGATCGGCAAAATCTTAGTGCAATTAACCAACGAAAATGATGTATCTGAAGAAACCGTACATATCATTGGACAAGGTATTGCTGCTCATGTTGCCGGTGAAGCTGGCCGTCAATACTCACGTTTAACTGGACACAAATTGCGCCGCATCACTGGTTTGGATCCCTCAAAAATTTATGCTAAACAACCAAATACTTTAGTTGGATTAGCACGCGGTGATGCAGATTTTGTTGATGCTATCCACACCTCTGCTTATGGTTTAGGTACTCAAACTCGCTCTGGTGATGCTGACTTTTATCCCAATGGTCCTAACGTAAATGTACCCGGTGCTAAAAATATTGTTAAAGCCTCCATGCGTGCTACACGTTATTTTGCTGAATCAGTACGTCCAGGAAATGGACGCAACTTCCCTGCAGTTCCAGCTAATTCACTCAACCAATACAAGAACAATAATGGTTATGGTCCTCGCGCTTATATGGGTATTAAAACCGATTTCGACGCACAAGGTGACTACATTCTTCAAGTGAATCCCAAGAGCCCATTCGGTCGCAGTGCTCCAGCAGAGAAACAAACCTATCATGCTGCTCATCAACCATGGTCTCAAATGAAATCTCAATAAACTACTTGATATGGAACAATATGGGTTTATGATAATTGAAAAGTAATTTCTGTTGAACAGAAATATCATCGAAGCTTTAAAATTCATTACCGAAATTTTTGTTGATCTATCATTTCATGTTACTGACTTCATATAATTTTTAGCTAGAAAAATACATTTGCAAGTTTACAAAATAAATGAATGTGGTTTTTTTGTGAGATAATAGTTTAAAAAAAAAAAATTGGCTAACTGGAGATAAAGTTGGGAACAACATGTCTGTTTAAATCCTTTCTTGATGACATGTGGACATTTATCATATGAATTTCCTTCATTTTAGTATCTTCATGAAGTGTGAAATAAACTGAGCATAAATACAAATTCTATAAAAGATAAAAGATAGATAAAAGAAGAAGACAGTTAAAAGAGAGAGAATAAAAATAAGGAAGAAACTTTTTGAACGGGTAACATGTTTTAACAATTTTAATATGAGTTGGTGATGAACTAATTATAAATACAACTTTCACTAAAATATCTTCAGTTGAAATTTTTTGCAAAGATAATAGATAAAAGATAGATAATGAAAGAAAAAAAACTCCTTATTTTTTTTTCATTTAGGAAGTGTAATTTCATAACAAATGGAGAATGTTCCAAGTTCACTAACTCTTTGAGAATGATATATAATATGATATATAAATAAGAAAACGCTTTTATAAAGACAGCTTTCCCTTATCTGTACACTTCACTCGAACTGTACATTCTGTTTTTAAAAGTAATATTTTTTTTACAATAAGTGATAAATCTCATTCGAAAAACAGTAAATTATATATAAATTAGAGCTGTCTTATGTGAAGACAGCTATCCCCTATCATTACAGTTGAATTGGAACAGAGTATTCTGTTTTGCTTTGGATAATTATATTTTTATTCAATAAGTGATAATTCTTATACGAATAAAAGTATCTCATATTGACTTAATTTTTTCTCACAACTGATGATCTAAGTTCTTCAATGTAAAAAAAAAAGAAACATATGTAGATAAATTATATACAATGAGTTTTTTCATATTAAGTACCTAAACACTGGGACATTAATGATCTAAATCGGGGCTGTCCAAAGTACGGCCCTTGGGCCACATGTTTTTAATCTACTACAATCACGCAACATATCTTTTGGTGTGCTGGTAAAACCATATTATTTTATTTTTATGATATGCCAAATAAATGAATTTAAATTGATAAAGTAATAAAACTAAATTTAACATTATAATCTCACTTATATCGTTATAATATATATATAATAATAGAATTGGAAATATAATAAATAGAGTGGACACCAAGAAAATGTGGTGAAAAATGGTGGTCTGGACGCATTTCGAAAATCAAGAGAGCCTGGCTTGAAATGCCAACATAAAAGAGATCCTACTCAAAGTAATGCGAAAGCGGTTCCTAGGGGGAATAAGTCTCGCTGAAGAGGGGGTTAAGGAGTTAGGGAGTCGGACACACCATTCCGACGACGGTCGGTTTGACGGTGCATAAAGCATTCCACCTCCTCACTACAAAAAAAAAATGTATATATAATAACAACTATGAACGTAAGTATTTGTTTCTGCGGCCCTCCAATCTGTACAGTAATTTGTATTGGCCCGCGATCGCATCTGGTCTGGATAGCCCTGTTCTAAATGATTAAATAAGTTCACACATCATTAATTAAAATATATTAAACAAATAAGCTACTCTTTATTTTAGGCATAAGTTATGGGCTTATTAGATTATTTAATACAAAAACAAAAATAAAAATTTATAAATTTATATTCAATTATAAAAACATTATTAAGAAACTAAAATATAATAAATTTTGTGTACATATTATTTTTTAATTTACTTAAATTAATAAAATTTTAGTTAACGCTTAAAGTATAAAACAGTTAACTTAAGTATACATCTTTTTTATATAAATTTTTAAAACATTCCGAATTTTGCTAATTTTAAATATTAATATTAAATAAATTGATTAATAAATCGTAAAAGGCAGTAAAATTCAGTCAATTCCATCGAAACAATATAATAAATTTTTAAATACATTCGTTTCGTCACTTTTTATGAATACCAATATTTTTAATTTTTTTTTATAGATATAACACATACTCTTATATTTTAGAGGCTGCCAGTTTAATTTAAATTTAATAAAACTTCAACTTATTTTTTATTCCTTACAGCCTAGGCCAGCAGCCCAATTGCACATGCCACCCACTGGATCATAGCTCAAACCTTTCGGGCAAGTATATTCCCAGCCGACGACACCGCCCGTTTCGAATTTGGCACATGAGATGAATTTGCGACATGATAATGGATGCGGGAAATTACCCTGGTCCAGACACTCAATTATGCCTTTGCCGTGCAGAATTACTTTAAGCTTTATTGTAAATAAAATTTAATTAAATTTATTAAAAATTAATGTTGAAATTCTATTACAACTTACATCTTGACCCTTTGTGCTACCAATAACGGGTTCATCATCCTCATCGTAGTAATCATAGTCCTCAGTTGGTCGATAAGTCTGCTTGGGTGGTGCTGGTGGTGGTTTTGATGTGGTTTTCGTCACAGATTTACCAGGTTTAATATTAAATTGATCAATTGGTTCGCTATACTTGTGAGGTTGACGACGATTGATAAATGTGTTAACTTTACGTGTGTTTGCTGTTGTCGTTTGAGTGGGCGTGGTCTTTTGTGGCCGACGATTTATGGATGGTTTAGCTATTTTATGCAAAAAACAAGTTGATTTATTAATAAATTTGCTTTTTAATTTCCTGTTACATGTAAAAACCATTTAAATTTACTAACTTGTTGGAGCTGCAGTTGTTGTTGGTGTTGTAGTTATAGAAACCTTTGGTGATACGTCCATACGGCGTCTAGTTTCTTTTTCGTAATTGAAATTTGTTTCCGGTGGTGTAGTAACGTGACGTGTTAATGGTGCTGCTACTGGTATTGATTTTATGGCACTGACGTTTCCATCTTCGTCATCCTCTTCAGCTTGTCCTGTAATATGATTGAAAAGACTTGTATGTATGCTCGATTTAGCTATTTGATCTGTGGCATCATCAATTCCATCAAGGAATATGGTTGTTGTAAGTGCTTCAATTGGATTCGCTGTAGATGGGAATACGCTTGAAGTAAGTGTGGTTGTTTGAATTGTTGTCGTGGCTGGAGCATGGGCCGTTAGCGTATGGCTCAAACGACGTTTAAAAAGTGGATTTTGTGTACGTGGTGCGTCTGTGACTAATATTTGCAAAAATGATAAAATTTTAATTTCAAATTTAATTAATAAATAATGTTTTTTTTAATATTTAACACTATTTATATACAATAAAATACTATTATATAACTATTATATTGAAATATCATTACTAACAGAATTGTAAACAATTTATCTAAAATGTACTTAAATAATGTATTATATGAGTACATATATATATTGTTACAAATAACATAATAAATTATTAATTATACGTACATTTTTATTAATTTTAACATTATTTAAATGAATAAATATTAATTATATAACAAAGAAGCTCTTATGGTCAATCAAACACAATGGGCCAAGAGGCCTAAGTGGATCGACGGTATAACCTAACCAAACCTATGCTCAATCAAATTTAAATATGATATTTTTGTTTAACACAAATATTTTGCTTCTTTTTTTTCTTCACAATTATGATAACATAATTTATGTGTGTGTATAATAAATCATATTGTATATTATATTATCTATAAGTAAAAAAATAATAATGTCGAATAATTTACGATCACCATTTAAGTAAATTATGACAATTTTTACTTTCAAATATAAATGAAAGAGCTTATTAATCAATTATTGTTTTAAATTACTCATTAAATTATTAGTTATTATTTTTTATTTCATTTGAAAAAAAATATTTATATAAAATTGTTATATTTTTTTACTATAAAGTATTATTTAATTTTATTGAATGAGACCAGGTCTGACATATTAATCTTTGGAACAAAGTTGTTATTTTAAGACAATTGGACGAAATATGTATTTAATATTTTTTTTCTCAATGATAATAAAAAATACTTAATTCATTACATCTTTTTATGAATTTAAGTTAAGAAATTTAAATTAAATAAAAACATATTGTATTATTTAATAAGTAGTTCTGGACTGAATCATTTAACAGATGTACAATATTTTGTCAATGAATTACGTTTCAGTGGAGAGTTTTTTTTTTGAAATTCATACTTCGTTTATTGTTCTTTGAAATAACCCCACTTTTGCGAGTAGAAAATATTTAAACACATTATAAATAACATAAATATATATATAAATAAATATATATAAATATAAATAAATAAAATACATATACTATTTTTACAACTCAACAAATCCTACTTACATCTAAATTCACCTTTTCATGAAATTCCCTAATTAAAAAGCACTTGGCCGCATATTTACTTATTGTTGTTACTCAAATAATATTCACCACTTACCACTTTCTTCTAAATTAATTGCCGTCGTTGTTGTTGGTAATAGACGGCGGGATTGATATTTAAGTCGCAATGCTGGCGAAGTATATTTCGTAGCAATATACGGTCGTTGCGTGATGTCATTGGCGGATGTTGCTATTGCCGAAGATGCTGTTGAAGACGATAATGATGAAGCTGTGTTAAGATCGTTGGATGATGTAGCCAATTTGGTTTTTTTAAATTTTGAATTAAGGTAATTTTTATTATTGTTATTAAAACCGAAGATTGTTGTTGCCAATAACGAAGAAGATGATGATGACACCGCCGGAGTTGTTGTTGCTGGTAGTCTACTGCGATTACGATTGTATTTAGAGGTCGTTTGCAATTCAGTTAGTGTCGTTGTGGTTAATTCATTGTTGTTGTTGTTGTTAGTAGTAGTTATTCCTGTTGTTGTTGTTGCGGAGTTCGAACCAGTTGCCGTTGTATTAATTATACGCCGCCGTACGCTGAATGCAGGTCGTCGTGAAACTGCGGTGCTGCTCAAGCTCGCAGTCGGTGCGCGTTGCTGGAAGATAGTGGAAGCAAAATTTTCAGAATTTGTGTTAAATTAAAATATTTTGTTTCGTTTTTTTATTGACAATTGGATTTAAAATTTTTGCTGGATTATTTAAATAAATTTTATTAAATTTTCTGTTTTAATTTGTGTTTTGCGTGTATTTTTTATTTTAGATTTTTTTGTTTGATTTCTGTGTAAAAAAGAGTGCAAATGTCTAGAAAACTACAAAAGCGGGTTTTTGGTGTGCAGCTATAATTTTAATTAAACTTAATTTAAAAAAAATTAACTTAATTACATAATATATTTCGTCGGAACAAGTACTTAAGTTTTTTTTTATAAAAAATATCATTAAATATTATTTTTAGTTTAGTTAAATTTCTAATCAACTATTTAAGAAAACATTGCTACTATAAATTTTTAAGTATAATTTCAAAATTAAATGTTTTTATAACATTAATTAAAAAAAACAAAATTTTCAAAGATTTAATTTTTTTTTTGGTTCGTTAAAAAAGTGTGATTACATATATGAAAATATATTTAAAATAAATATATAATTTATCATATGAAACATAAAATACATGAGTCCATATTATAAGTACTAAAAATATATAAAAAATTATTTTAAAAAAAGTAGTTATTATTTTTATTTATGATAAATATAATTATTTATGTATAGAAAATATATTTAAAACATTTTAATATTTTGAATTTTAAAAAAACTCTAATGTATAATATATAACTTACTGTATAATATATTACTTTAGTAAAATAAATATTATAATATATTAAGCAACAATACATACATAACATAAATAAGTGGTTTAAGAAAAAAATTATTTATGTATGTATTATTGCTTAACATATTTATTTATTTAAAATGATGAATGGTTAAAATATTTTATAATCAATATATATTAACATAATATATAAAAATGTAAATATAACAAATAGTAATATAAATTACATATAATTAAAAAAATATAATATAAAAATTACACAGATTACACAATAATAAATGATAATATTAAATAAATAATATATAATTAAAATCGTAATAAAAAAAATAAAACTATTTATTTAAAATAATATATATAAAAATTTATAAATTTATTCCGACTTTCAAAAATAATTTTATAAAATTTTGTTAATTTTTATTTTCATTATTCCACAATGATTTAAACTTTTTATGAGTAATATATGTACAACTAATAATAATTAAAAAATAATTAAATAATAATTAAATTTCTATGCGCTATTTCTTTGCTTATATATAATTAATTAATTAAAGTTGATCAATCAACAATTTAATCACTTTGATTAGTACTTAAAAATATTAATAATATAATTATTTATAGTTTGCAGCAATTATTCATTACTGTAAATTAAATTTACACTAACTTTAATTTAAAAAGAGGTTTTTCGAACAGTAGTGAATTACAACAACAAAAATTCATTTTATATTATTTTAATTAATTGAATTAATGACTGACTATAGTTAATTTTCTATAAAAGAAAGTTTTAAAATGTAACCTTTTATATTAAATTTCATTTATAATTTAAATGATTTAATATTTTAATATTTTTTTTTTTAGTAACAAAAATCCTTCTCATAATAGTTAGATAACTTGACTCACTGAATATGGGCTTTAAGAAGTTAGTCCACTGTAATACCAATAAAAGTTTTAAAGCACCAAAACTTAAAATAACTTTTTAAAGCATAAAAAGAATATAAAATTATTATGTAATTACATAAATATTAAAAAAATATAATATTATGAAATATATAATAAAAATTTAAAATAAAATAAAAATTTTTTAAAACTTATTCGGTGTAAGAGAGAAGCTTTAAATTTAATTAAATGAAACTCAGTTTAAATTTTAAATAAGTTATGAATGTTACTTTCATGAATTGAGTAAATATATTATATATAAAAACATAATTGCAATTTAAAAGAAAAAGTAACTATTTTGTAATTTACCTACTTGGACATAAAATTCATAATTAAAGGTAATAACTCCATCAAGTCAAACGCGTTAATTAAATAAAAATTAAAATATTTTTATGGAACATGCTTTTTGTAAAAAAAACAACATAAAAACTTTTATGTGTATTTATACAATATATATAGAGTTCAGTATTTGTAATTTTGTAAATTTAATGAGTCATAAAAATTGAATCTTTTAAGCACTTTTTGTAATAAATTAAAAACGTATGAAAAACTGACACAGTTTCGAAGTAAAAAAATGATTACTCATACTTCATGGTGTACCAATAAATGCAAAAATCTATAATGGAGGAAACTAATAACCAAATCAAAGTTGCTATATATAATTTTGCAAAATATTATAAAAAATAGCATCAATAATTTAAGATATTATAGATAATTAGTTCAGTCATTGAAAAAGTAAAATTAAAGTGTTTCGCTTAAAAATATTTTGTAATAGATATTTTATCTTAAGTCCAAAGACAAACTAATTTCAAAAATATTTCAAAAATGCCAAACAATCCTTAAAACCGCAAACTGAATTCATTGATTAAATTCAAGCGCAACTTGAAAATGTTTTTGTATGCCAATCAGTTTTGAGTGCATTTACTTCAAGCATTCAAAGCAAAAGTATCTGTAAACAAATGCAGCCAGCCAGCAGGTTTAATATTTAGTAATATCAACACATAAGCTGAGATATTCATACAAAAACACGCAAAAAAAAACAAAATAAATTTCTTTAAATATTTATTTTTTAACCTAAATACGCTTATTACATATAAAAAGTATCTCAGCTCATTTGTTTACTTTGGCTTGGAAAACTATGAGCTCAAATGGGTTTATCATTTCGAATGCAAATATTGAATCACCACAGCAAGCGTTGGCGTTGTGGACTTGCGTTTCAGCTAGTGAGCTAGTGACTGACTACCCATGAAGTTGAAATGTTTTGATTTCCAAAGCTAATAAAATTGTATAGATGCTGTAATCACAGCGGTTTGAGATACACGTAGTTTGGCTGTTTTCATATTGAAACGACGTGTGCGCGACTGACATTGAATTATTCATAATTTATTTGTATTTCTGCTTTAAATATATATTTATGTAATTTAATCTTTATTTATAATTAAAAGAAGATTGTCATTTATCTAACTAATTTATTTTGCATATGTGATTTTTTGCACATTTAAGTCAAGCTTATTTATGGCTTGGTGAACATTTTAAATGGCAGAAGTTAAAAACAAATTGTTTAGGAATGCAGTGCCATACACATTTGGCATTTTCAATAAAGATACTTTATACTTTATATTAACATATGTATATATAGAAGCAAATTAATTGCAAACTTGTCTTTACATGCTATAGAAGTAATAAATACAAGTTAGTGTGGAATTTTAATTTATAAAAATTAAAAATAAAAATAAGAAAAAATATGTTCATTAAATATCAAATAATATACAAGGAATATTTAGATATATTATTGTTATTTGAAATATTTTTAGCTCTTTAGGTAAATTATGTACGATACAGAAGTCGGAGAAAAAAAATTAAAATAACTTCTCTCTGGTCAAGAGATAGTTGAATAATTTTAAGAATATACACTATAATTATATAGATATCTAAGTGATTTTAGTTCTTAAGATAAGCTTTGTGGATTACAGAAATCGTAAAAAACAAATTAAAATAATTAAACACTTCGAGAGTAAACACTCATGCGTAGCCAAGTTAAAGCACGCGATTATGGAAACCTGGGAATCCATGAAAATGACGCATAATCCTAACCAGTTTATTGAATTTTAACATTGAAGCTTACGAACAAACAAGTGTGGCATATATCCCATATAACTTGTGGAACTCCATTATGAATGGCTATAAATTCATAAGCATGGCGGACCTACTTATTGTCGTACCGATACAATAATAATGTATTCATATACATTAAAATAATAACATTGTTTAATGAAAAGAGAGTAAAGGTCCTTAGCAATATGAAATTTATATTATATAGCAAGATGGATAATACCAACTGAGAGATTTTACCTTTTTTAATATGTTTAATAGATATATGGCATATTTTTGTGGACTGAAGGATAGCACAACAACAAGTAAGATATGATCAAATGTGTTGTTTATAATCTGTGAAACATATAGATCTATATAGTTTACATACTGATTCGTAAGTAAAATACCACAGTATATTGACATATACTGCAGAAA